TATAAATGTATCTATGAGAATGTGTGTGTATGTGGTATATGTATATGAAAGTATGTGTATTTGATTATAGTAAAAATGTCTCTATGATGCACATAAAATAATATGCAGTTAAAATATTTATAAATACAAATTATAATTAAATAAAAATGTTTATATAAATTACCGACAATATCTTGAATAATGTGATTATAAAAACGTCTACTTAAATATGAAATACATCATTAATTACTACTTGTAAAACCCGTGTATTACACGGGTTGATGATAAAAAATAAAATATTAAAATGTAAATAAGAAGTATTTTTTAAAATAAAATTTTGAAATAAGGAATAAAGAAACATATTAATTGCAATTTAGTATAATATTTATTATATTTGATACTTTACATATATAAGTATAAGTATTATGTGACTTTTTTATTTTAAAAATTGAAAAAAATCATAAATTGACATTTGGATATTATTTATTTAAAAAATATCACAAAATGACAAGTGTCAAAACTCATTAGAGATTGACATGTGGCAAAATTATCTTCATTTATTATAGTAGATTTATTATAATAGATACAGCTAACTCGTTGATCTCGTGGTCCAAAACATTACAAAAAAGATATTAAGAAATTTTAATTTACAAAATTATGATAAGTCATCAATGTTATTTGTTACTCCATAAGTAATTAATATATTTTGAATATAATGTAAATTTAGATAATTAAACTAATTATCTTATTATGTTTATTTATTTTCGTTTTTTCCTTTTCATCTACTTTTTTAATAGATAAAATACATATTTAATTGGATCTGGAAAAGGATTATAAAAGGAAGAGATAAGTATCGGGAAGAAAACCCACCAATTGAAAAAGAAAAAAAAAGAAATTGATGTTGATCCAATAGGAAAGAGTTATTGTTCACAACGGTGCTTCTAATTTACTATAATATATAATGAGTAAAAAATTGACAAAACTATTCATTAGAAATAAACTAAGCCCCACATAAGAAAAAATTATATCATTTATCTTTGATACTTGTTGAAACTATAAAACTTTGGTAATGGTATTTGTAATACAAATTGTATCTGTATATCTTACATTTTTTCAGGAAATGGCATAGATATGGCTCTTGTTTTTGTACATCATGGCTGCTGTTATGAGCCGTGGACATGTGGGCGATGGAGTCGAGGACCCACCATTCCCAGAAGGTAGAGGTGCTGGTCTGCATGAGCAGGTAGGTAAGTCTTATTATGAATTTTTATTTACTATTTTTATTCAATAATTATAAAATACTATTTCTAATAATTTTTAATTATATTTGTAGTTATGTCACACATGAGAGTCCAAGGAATAGCACAAAACATTAAGCTTGAAAGAGCGCTCTTATAGAATAAGGGAATACTGATTGACATAGACTATGATAGGGATATGACATATGATCCCGTAAGAGAGCCGAATGACATGTTTGCACGCAAAATTGGGAAAATAATATGGCGGATGGTCTCTGTTGATAAATGGACTTGGAAAAAAGTTTCCCCCGCGATGAAGGATACAGTAAAACAACATTTAGGGGTAAATTATTTATATAAAATATTTTATATGGTTAATTATGACTAGTTTTAGTTGGTTAACTTTTTGTAGACAAAGTTTGATTTGGATCGGATGTCTTGGGATCCAGACGCTGCTATGCTGTTAAATAGTTTTGAAGCAGCTTTGTTAAAAGGTTATCAAGAGCGTAAAGCTGGTGCAAAATAATATTTTTTGAAAGTCGGAGGGTATAAGGATATCCCAAGAGCATTAGCCACCCACCACATGAAATGGAGGATGATAATTGGAGGTAAATAGTTAAGTATTTCCAAACGGATGAACACATAGCTGCTTTAGAAAGGAACAAAAAAAGTTTGTGAAATGGAAACGACTGTGAACCGTGGGGGGTCGAACTCATATAGAAGTACTTGCTATAAGAAGATAATGTACGATATTTGTAATTATTTATTTAAAATATAATCTAATTTTTAATGTTAAATAGAACCCGAAGAGAGTGGAAACGTTTCACAATGATCATAGGGATAGGAATGGTGTATTTGTTAGTGTCGAGGCGGAACAACAATAGGTAAGTATTTAATTATAATTTTATCATATAATTAATTGTTTATTTATACTTAATTGTTAATCGCTTTTGGAAAACACATAATCGGTTAGTGGAAGAGCTCCTAGAACAAACGTAAGGGCTAAAGGTAAAAGAGAGTTAACACCCGCTCAAGAAAGAGCCATCGCAACCACCACCACAGTCATCTCAACCATCATAGGTAAAACAAGATTATTTTAATTTCAATAAATGCATGTTGATTTGATAATTTTGGTTTGTGGTGATTATTTGCTAAAAGCTTTGGTAATTGGTTTTTTTGTCCAAAGTGCAAGAAATAGCAATGTACTTTGGTTTTATGTCTTAATTTGAAATAGAAATATACCAATGTTGTAAAAGTCGCTCGACGGTAGCTCGCCGGTCGACTGGTGTTAATGGATTAATCGATCTTGGTGGGGATTAATCGGGCACCATAGATTATTAATTAAATATTAAAATTAATCAAATATTAATATATCTTAAGAAAAACAAATACTTCAAAAATTAGAAAATAAGAAAATTTGTAATTTGAAAATACGAAAATATGAACATTTGGTATAATATTTGAAATTTGAATATTTTGGAGTAAAAAAAAGTTGATTTTTTGAATTTTTATTAAACTATTTTTTGACATTTTCTGACTTATTTTTTTGACTTTTTTCGACTTTTTTGACTTTTGTTGACCGATTAATCCCGCCAGACCCGATTAATCCTAAATTTCCGATTAATACCCTAATCCTCGACGGTTGGAGAACGCCAAAAGATTAATCCACGATTAATCGCCGATTAATCCCGATTTCTGCAACCATATAATATACTCTGATATAAATGCATGTTGATTTGGTAATTGTGTTTTTGTCCCAAGTGCAAGAAATATAAATACTTTAGTATTTCTTATATTTAAGGTTCTTTAGCGCAAAAAGAGTAAATTATTTAATTTCAAAGTCTCATGTATCTATATAATGATCAATAAATGCATGTTATTTGGTAATTGTGTTTATGTTTTAAGTGTAAGAAATAGAAATGTACATTGGTTTTTTGTCCCTGGTTTAAAAATAGCAATGTACTTTAGCATCAATAAATGCACGTTGATTTGGTAATTGTGTTTTTGTCCCAAGTATAGAAAGTACAATGTACTTTTTGTATTTCTTGTATTTAAGTGCAAGAAATAGCAATGTACTTTGGTAGTTTTTGTTTATGTTTGATAATTGAACTTATAAGTTTATATATGTTGTTATTTATTATGTAGTTGGAAAATCTTCGGACAATGCTCAACGACCCAGCGTGGCGTGTAGGAAGGAACTTTATGCGTTTTTCAATCGGGAAAAGATCAAGGAGGAAACAACGGGAACGGAGATGATGGTTTGTCAGATAATTAGTTTGTGTTTTGTATGTTAGACTTCTCGTGACACTTTGGTAGTTGTTGGAACTATAAAACTTTGGTTGTTTATTTTGGTATGAAATTAATTATAACACTATTTGGTACCTAATCGGAAGTTATTATGTAAATTTTTTTTCTACATTTAATGTTGTTATATATCGGTTTTTTAGCACCAAAATCGTTGATTTAAAAAAAATAATAATAAATGGAAAATGTTATTACCGACGACAGAACGAATTACAGGCGACATGAGCATTAGTGACGACACAGGTTATTACCGACGATAGGAGCATTAGCGGCTACATATTTACCGGCGACATTTTGAGCAATAACGACAGAGTAGTAACAACGACTTTTAACGGCGACTTGTCGCCACTATTACCTTTACCGGCGACATTGATAGCCTTTACTGGCGACTTTTGTCGCCGCTAATTCCCTTTTTTCTTGTATTGTCCTCTAATATCATACATAATTAAACCAAAACCCAAAAATCAAACAATAATTAAAACAAAGACAAAATATACATTAAAACTAATGGCATAATATTTATCAAGTTTCTAAAGAGATTCGGGATAGCAAGCCCAAAACCATTATGTCACAAAGCAAATGTAAAGGATTACTCCAAGTCTCCAACAAATATATATACTATAGTTTCCTTTTAGGACCTAATGACGCATGTAGTATGGACCGACTGCCTACTCTCTCGTCATAATTTTCACTTTTATATATTTCACTAGATTGAGGCGTTCCATCATTTAGTGAAATGGAAGAGAAATCATGAAAAACATCAAATGATCAATTAGACATGAAAAAGTTATGAGTATCGCTAGCTTTATCTAGTTTGAACACAACCGATAATCCAAACTCAACAACCATTAAGGATGTTATTTCTTCCTTGTTAATTTGCATGTATAACGTTATGCAGTTCAAAAGATCGCAGTGCATAAACCATTTTTGTGGAACATTCAAGAGCATCCACAATACGTTATTTAATGGAATTGTCGAACAAAGGTGAAAAATATTTAATTTGAATTTAACTTAAACCTAATAGGAAGTCAAATCAGCACTCAATAAAATTGAAATTGAACGATCATTGAAAGAATTAAATTCTAAATTTATATATATGAAAAACTGAATGCTTAAAATTTTTATAGAGTTCAATTCATTATTGATATCCTAAGAACACAATAGTTATAATTTTCGGACGGCAGATAATAAGTTCATCTTGTAAAAGATACAAATTTAAATATTTCATAAAAAAAATTACCATGTGTTATATATATATTTGTTGAAATTACAAGCCAATTTGAAGACGCCTCATATGTAACAACAGCTACACATTTCGACCATTTATTTAGATAGACATTAACCCCTAAAACGACAATAAATTACAACTTTGTAACCCAATCCTTACTTGACACGTTGCCCTACCCCGTAGAACTCCCTGACAATCTGGTATAAATATTAAATAATACACCTACACTCTTCTCAAAGTATTAGCAGTGAATGGAGTCCACAAAGAGGCTAGAGGTCGTCCTCCACTCTGGAAGGGGTCTCAGAGACGTCAAACACTTGCGCCCCATGGATCCATACGCTAAGGTTTGGATAGCAGGAGATGGCAAGGAATCCAAGCAAAGAACACCTATAGCAAGAAAAGGCGCTTGTAATCCTAAATGGGAATGTTGTATGCATTTCGATATCAGCTCCGTGAGCACGGATTACATCCTCTTCTTTCAGATCAAACACAGCGGGACGTTGTGTGACCGGAGAATAGGAGAAGTTCAAGTGCGTTTCGCAGATCTCCTCGCTGTTGGAATCTCAATTCCTTAATTCCCTCCATTATCTTCCACTCACCATATTTCCAGGAAAAGCAAAAGGAATACCATCAAGATGTTGGGTTTCTTTTTGTAGTTTAATATTATAAGCTTATATATATATACAACATATATCGAGCTATGAATATGCAGTACAACACAAACACAGTGTAAACCAATTGGTTTTTGAGTGATATTTCCAATTATAAATCAAAGAGTTATTTTGATATATTATTCTGTGTTTATACAATTGCTATACTAGAATTGGTATCAGAGCTCACAAGAACAGGGGCTTGAACTCATACCTGGTGATCAAGAAGGACACCAGTAAAAGAGATGTCAGACAGAGAAGGTGGTGATGCTGGTCCGGCTCCGATAAAACTCAAGGAGGTCGGAACAACCACTGTGGCTTGCCCGATGTTGAATTCCACAAATTACACCGTATGGTCCCTGCGTATGAAAGTCGTACTCAGAATTCATAAAGCCTGGACCATAATCGATCCAGGAGAAGAGAAAAATGATGAAAAGAATAACCTGGCAATGGGTCTATTGTATCAGGCAATTCCCGAAGCCCTAATCATGCAAATAGGAGATGTCGATGAATCAAAAACCCTGTGGGAATCGATTAAAGCTCGATACGTCGGAGCTGATAGGGTAAAGGAGGCGAGACTGCAAACATTAAACACCGATTTCGATCGGTTGAGAATGATCGAGACAGAGTCAATTGACTCGTTCGCCGGAAAACTCTCCGGTTTGGCTTCGAAATCTGCCTCACTTGGTGAAACAATCGAAGAGTCGAAGCTTGTGAAGAAGCTTCTGAAGGTTGTTCCCAGGCGATTCATCCATCTGGTGGCATCCCTCGAGCAGGTGCTCGATCTAAAAACCGTTGGCTTCGAGGACGTAGTCGGACGTCTGAAGGCGTATGAGGAAAGAATAAGGGAGGCGGATGACAGCGGAGAAGGAGGCGCGAAGGTGTTGTTTGCCTCGAGATCGAGTGGTAGCTCGAGCAGCGGCGGTGGCTGTGGCTCTTCAGGTGGATCGACAGAGTCGAAGGGGAAATGGGCGAAATCGGGTGAAGGTGGGGGAGATAATCGGAACAGATCCGGGTCGGGTGGAGGATCCGGGTCAGCAGGACCCAGTGGGTCAGGCCCAAGAGGAAACCGGCCCAGTTTGGCCCAAAACCCTAATAAGCCCAAAAACAAGCCCAATTCTAATTCAGACTCGAACCGTAACCCGAAAAAAGATCTGTCAAAAATTATTTGTTACAGATGCGATAAATCGGGCCATTACGCATCCAAATGTCCGGACCGAACCCAAAAATTCCAAGAAAGTAATTTTACTGAACACGACGATGCCGATGAAACAGTATTTCTACACGAGTCCGTATTTTTGAACGAAGAGAAGGTGATACCGTCTCGATACAACTCACAAGAAAACGATGTGTGGTATTTGGACAACGGGGCAAGTAATCACATGACGGGAAATCGTTCATTTTTCTCCGAACTCGACGAAGGAATAACCGGAAAGGTCAAATTCGGTGATAATTCGTGTGTCGAAATAAAAGGGAAAGGCTCAATTGTTTTCCAAGGAAAATCGGGGCAACAACGATTGATAACGGAGATTTATTTCATTCCAGATTTGAAAAATAATATTTTCAGTCTCGGACAAGCAACAGAAGCCGGGTGTGATATTCGGATGAAAGACAACTATTTGACGATGCATGATGCCGACAACTGCTTATTAATGAAGGTACAAAGAACTCCAAATCGCCTTTATAAAATACAGTTGCCTATTGGAGTACCTATTTGCCTTCATACAAGACTGAGTGAAGACACGTGGCGCTGGCATGCAAGACTTGGACACATCAATTTCGAGTCAATGAAAAAGATGTCTAAGAAAGGTCTAGTCAAAGGGTTACCCCATTTTGACAGTGAAAATCAATTGTGTGAATCTTGTTTGGTGGGCAAGCAAACAAGAAAGTTATTTCCATTAATGACGACGTACAAAGCAACACGGCCATTGGAGCTAGTTCACGGTGATTTATGTGGTCCGATAACACCGTCAACGAAGGGTCAAAATCGATACATTTTCACACTAATTGACGATTTTTCACGGTATATGTGGATTTTTCTCTTAAAAGAGAAAAATGAGGCGTTTTTACACTTCAAAAAATTTAAAGCTTTGGCGGAGAATGAGCTCGGAAAGTCTTTAAAGGTGTTTCGAAGTGATCGAGGAGGTGAGTTTACTTCGCTCGAGTTTAATTCCTTTTGTGATATGAATGGAATCAAACGCCATCTTACCGCCCCATATTCACCACAACAAAACGGTATTGTGGAACGAAGAAACAGAACACTTATGGACATGACACGAAGTATCATGAAGGCGATGCATGTTCCAAACTATCTATGGGGAGAAGCGGTAAAACATTCCACAAACCTGGTCAACCGTGTTTACACAAGAGTACTTGGTGATACAACTCCGTACGAGAAGTTGTATAAAAGAAAACCTAATTTGGAGAACGTACGCATCTTTGGGTGTTTAGCGTATGCAAAAGTTGAACCGGTAAACGTGAAAAAATTGGATGCAAGATCAAGACCATTGGTTCATCTTGGTTCTGAACCGGGTACAAAAGCCTATCGGTTATTTAACCCGGTTACACAAAAAATAATCGTAAGTCGAGACGTTATTTTTAATGAAACCAAAGGATGGAATTGGGTTAACGAAGCTACACCTGACAATGAAGAACCAGGATCATTCATAGTACCATGGGATTTACCGGAAGATGAGGCAAACAACAACCAAGGAAACGATGTAAACAACGAACCAAACGAATCGGATCACGAGATTGAAGACGGAGCGGAGGTACAAGAAAATGAGCAACCAAGTCCGATCAACAACAACGTGAACAATGTTCAAAACCAAAGGCCCACAAGACAAAATGTGCTTCCAATTCGATTACGAGATTATGTACTTTATGTTGATGAAATTGAAGAACTTCTCCTAGCAACCAATGACGAGCCGGTATCGGTTGAAGAGGCGAAGAAAGAACCAGAATGGGTCAAAGCCATGAATACAGAGATCAATTCAATCAACAAGAACAATACTTGGTCTCTCGTAAATAAACCTATGGGGGTGAAGCCCATTGGACTCAAATGGGTGTTCACGCTGAAGAAAAATGCAGATGGCACCATAAACAAACACAAGGCGAGGTTGGTTGCTAAAGGGTACGTACAACAACCTGGTATTGACTTTCAAGAAGTATTTGCTCCGGTAGCTCGCATCGAAACCATCCGGTTTCTCATTGCCTTAGCCGCTACCAATGGATGGGAGCTTCACCACTTGGATGTCAAGACGGCTTTCTTACATGGAGAGTTAAGAGAAACCGTCTATGTGTATCAACCTGAAGGCTACATAAGGAAAGGCGACGAGCACAAGGTGTACCGTCTTTCAAAAGCACTATATGGTCTTAGACAAGAACCGAGAGCATGGAATACAAAACTTGATGGGATTTTGAAAGGAATGAAATTTCATAAGTGCATGAAAGAACCATCGGTGTACCGGAAGAACGAAGGATCCAACTTGCTAATTTTAGCAATCTATGTTGATGATTTGTTTGTCACAGGAACAAATTTGAGCATGATCAAAAGGTTCAAATTTGAAATGTCCAAGAACTTCGAGATGTCTGATCTTGGAAGATTAACTTACTACCTGGGCATTGAAGTCAAACAAGAAGAATCAGGGATTACTATAAACCAAGAAGCGTATGCTAGACGCATTCTAAAAGAAGCCGGTTTACACGATTGCAATCCGACCCACATTCCCATGGATCCAGGAACCAAAATGTCGAAGGCCGAAGATGAACCCGAAATCGACCCGACACAATACCGAAAGTTGGTAGGATGCCTTAGATATCTCTTGCAGACAAGACCCGATATGGCATATGCGGTTGGAGTTGTTAGTCGATACATGCAAAATCCAAGAGAATCACATGGTGTTGCAATCAAACACATCCTAAGGTACTTACGTGGAACAACGTCACATGGAATCAAGTACGAGAGGATGGGGCAAAAACCGGATCATTGGTTACAGCGATAGTAGTCACAATGTCGACCCGGACGACGGAAGAAGCACAACCGGTCACATTTTCTACTATGGGTTGTCTCCAATAACATGGTGTTCTCAAAAGCAAGATACTGTTGCTTTATCATCTTGCGAGGCAGAGTTCATGGCTGCAACTGCGGCTGCATGTCAAGCAATATGGCTTCAAGATTTGCTAGGCGAAATCATGAACAAAGCACAAGAGAAGGTGGTCCTAAGAGTTGATAACAAGTCAGCTATCGAACTCACGAAGAATCCTGTTTTTCACGGAAGAAGCAAACACATTCACACGAGGTTTCACTTCATTTGTAAGTGTGTTGAAAAGGAACAAGTGGAGGTGAAGTACATTCCAGGTGAAGAACAAAAGGCAGACATTCTCACAAAACCATTGGCTCGAACCAAGTTCAAGACAATGCGGGACTTGATCGGGATTGAAGACATCTTTAGAAGGACTTAAAGATTGGCGGTGATCGGGAATCTCTAGAAGGACTTAGAGATTCGGGGGGTGATTGTTGGAATCTCAATTCCTTAATTCCCTCCATTATCTTCCACTCACCATATTTCCAGGAAAAGCAAAAGGAATACCATCAAGATGTTGGGTTTCTTTTTGTAGTTTAATATTATAAGCTTATATATATACAGCATATATCGAGCTATGAATATGCAGTACAACACAAACACAGTGTAAACCAATTGGTTTTTGAGTGATATTTCCAATTATAAATCAAAGAGTTATTTTGATATATTATTCTGTGTTTATACAATTGCTATACTAGACTCGCCGCAGATGCTCCTGCAAGGAAGGTTAGTTACCAGGTGACTATACCATCTGGTGAGAAACGGGGGGAAATCATAGTTTCACATAAGTTCTCAGAACTGGTGGTGAGTTCCGATGAAAATGAGGAGGTCGAGGGAAGT